CTGGAAATATGTTGTCCAATACTTGACTCAGGGCTTCAGTTAGGGATTTATCCATTGAAACAAAATTTAAATTATTCTAAACATTTATTATTAGGGTTTTATAATTCATCGCTATATGCAGAGTTTCGAACTTTGCTTACAAATCATGGCAAATTGAGACTCCGCATATAGGAGCAACATATCGCTACAGCGATAAATTATAAAACCCTTATTATTAATGCATATAAGCTTTCAATTTGAAAAGTGTAAACCAGATAAGAAAACCAAAAAACCAAAATAATTTATACACCTACTAGAGTCGACCCACTAGATTTTTGTTCTTCAGGTAAATCTGTTGCAAGTTCAAAAGTAGCGTCTTCGAATTCAGCAAACTCATCGTTGCTTCCATCTAAATCGGGATTATGTTCTGTAGTTCCTTCAGTAAATTCTTCAAAACTGTCTACAAAGTTATCAGCGTCTTCGCCGGATGCTTCAATGTTTGGAAAATTGTTCATTTCTATTAACCGGTTATGATAATTTATAAACTTGAACGTGGTATAGAACTAGCGAGTCTTTTATATCACGTCGGTTACGGCTTTACCAAATATAAAACATGGTGTGATATTAAAAAATTTAACGTTTTGATAATTTGATAATCTCATGCAGTACAGTTTTTTTAGCCAATACCAGAGCTGTCTACCGGGTCGATCTAGTTAACATTTTTTATTTTGTTATTAATCGATAAAAAAACCTACTTTATACAATTACATCTTTATAATTTACATGATTTGTCAAAGTAGAGTAGTTAAAGTCGCTTGCTTACTTAATGAACTTGTGTTCATTAAAAATATATAATTATTATTCTCAAGGAATGTTATGCATAAACTGTGTAATAAAGTTAATCGTATAATAAAATGTAGATTCCAAACCGTTGTCGAATTATACAAGTTATTTATTATCAATTGAAAGTTAATTCGATTTGCAATCATGAATTGGATAAAAATCTCCGATACAAAAGTATCGGAGCAGTATTTTGTTTCGAATCGATCACGGGTTCTACTCGAACTATCACGTTTTGATTAGACTTGATATTATATAATTTTTTTAAACTTTGAAGATATCTCAGTAACTACCTATCAAAAATCAATGAAATTTTTTTTTTATTTTAATTCTAGGTAGTTATCGAGATA